TACAACTCAACAAAGTAATTGTATGAGAAATAAACATGGAAAATGACAAGTCAACGCGTTCGCTCTTCAAAGGGTCGGAGTCATAAAACTAAAAGCAATTCGCCCTAAATATAGACTTGTGCTAAAACATAGCGTTCCCGTTTCTGTTTGCATTGCGCTCCAGTGACAGAAAGTAACTTTATCCTTTGTTGAGCAGCCAGTGCAGCCACGTCCTTGCATACAGCCTGTAGTTCTGTAGTTTGACCGCGTTTGTCTGCTTTGCTCTCCCTGCTCCACTCAGAGCAGCCGCACGAACTACTTTTACTTTGTTGCTCGTTTCTAAATCACACGTCTCTTACCTTTCACGGCAGGAGAAGCGCACGGCAGGTCTGAAGGTGCTTGAAGGTGTTACTTATCCGTAAACGCGAAAACAGCAGCAGTAATCGCGGCAGTCTGCCTCACATCGCTCCCGCGCAGCCCCAGTCTCCAGACTGAAGTACTAGACCATAGCGAGATCCATCCAGCACCTTTCTCCTGATGACAACACGCAGCACGCAGGCTCAGGCTCCGCCCACTGCACGCTTCAATGAACTGGCTGCAAGTGATCTAACCTCGGCTTGCTTTGGAAACATTAAATACTTGCATAGTGTTCTCAGGGAAGAGATTTTGTTTGATGACAATGTTATTACAATCATATGAAAAGTAACTTTTAAAATGCACTCAATCACTCAGACTATTTCGGTCTGCTAAACCCATAGACTGTGGTTATCTAGTAAGCCCTACAGTGGCACCATCTGGTGAACTGTAGAAAGTTACACGTGCGGGAATGCACATTTTAATAATTTTGTGTGTTAGTTTGCCAAATAAAAGGAAGACCAATATGTGACAAGGGCTTTGATATACCATGTGGCAAGGCAAGGGAAACAAGACAGGAAACATTCTAATCATAAAACAATTAAACACATATATTACAATCGCTCATTTAAAATTATACATATATTTTAAAGACCATTGTTTTTGTCATTTAAATACGTAATACATATTCTGCAAATGCTAAGGAGGGCAGTAGCTATTAGTCTACAATCATTACACATTATAATACATATTGATAATAGTGATTAATAATAACAATAATGATAATAATATTAATATTAATATGAATATTATTAATAATAATAATAATAATAATAATAATAATAGCAATAATAGTAATAATAATAGTAATAATAATAGTAATAATAAACAATAATAATAATAACAATAATACATTTTTATTTGTACAGCACTTATGTATACAATGTTTACAAGCAGGGGGTTTAGATCAATGTAGAATGCTATACTATAATGAACTTACATTTACCTAGGAGTGAGTCCTAAGCATAGATATGTTTTATTGTATTTCAGTCGTCAGAGTGCACAAGCGTGTTCATACATTTCCCATGAGCACCTTCGTAGGATGACGTACAAATCATGCGACTGCTGTTTCCATGGAGCCGATGGAAGCTTAATTTACGAGGTCGCTCATGAATACATTCAGCAGTGCATTTGTGGCTTTTAGACTATAAAATACGAGTTATAAGTGCACGAAAACCTGGACATGGAAACTCTATTCTCTTTCGAGCTCCTGGTGGACACAGTTAAGTTGGAGATAGAGACAAAAGTAGCAGACGAGCTGGCTGTCGCGTTGCGTTTACTGGACTTCCCCACGCTTATTATTTATCAACCAAAGCACAAACGCCTGAAGGAAGACAGAGAATACGCTTTCAATCGAGGGAAGGCTTGTTTCTTTAAAATCAACATGGACGCACTGCATGGGCATTTAACAAGCACCCCTCTTTACGCAATGCTGCTGGACGTCAAAGAGGACATCCCTAAGTTTGTGGGCAGCTCTCTTATTTCCCTAGCTCAAGTGATGGCCAGAATAAAAGCAGATGTGACAGAGAGAGGTGTTTCCACGCCTTCTTCCCACGGACAAAGAGGATCTGTTGTCATATCGAATCTCAAAGGGGAGAAAGTTGGGACAATGCTCTTCAGTTACAAACTTTTAAGTCTGGGATGCAGCTTATTGCCACATATGAGTGATAAAGTGGACTCTCATAAGGCGAATCTTTGCTTGGAAGACAAAATCGGCGTGAAAGAAGTGCATGAATTGCGTACAAACTCTGATAATGTTCATAAATCAGATCAGGATGTGTCCAGTCAGCTTACAAAAGTTGAGGAATCTAAACAAACAAAGAGAATCTTCCCAGAGAGTAAAGAATTTGATAGTCATGCAGATGAAGACATGGGTGTATTTTGTCCGCCATGTCTTTATTACAACAATTCAGCAGAAGAAAGAAGACGATGTGAAGACGAAAGCTGCAAACAACTGGAATCCAACGTTAATGCATATAAATGTGAAGTTACACAGGATGAGATTGATCAAAGTTTACATGGACAGAGGCCTAATGCAACAATAACGAGCCAAGAAAAAACGCAAGTGTCCACTGGTGATGTGACCCCAAATGTCATTGGTCAAGCCCTTCGACAGATGCCTCTACTCAATGCTCTCCTTGTTGAACTGTCTCAACTAAACTCTTCCAATTCCAATCAACCTCTGAGCATTCACCCCAATCTGTCTTGGATATACAGGCCTGCTTCCACAGAATCTACAGCTGTCCAAAGAAAAATATCACCAAATGAATCCAAAAGGAAACTGGCTTGCAACACTAAGTCAAAGGATTTATACTCCCCAAGACGATGTTCAACGCCAAAACAAGAAGAGACTAAAATTACTCTAAGAAAAAAGCTTGTATATGGGACAACAAAATCATTCAATCTGAGATTAAAGCAAAACTTCCCTGTTGGAGTCAAACAAAGAGAATGCATGGAGTTATTCGAGAGAAAAACACAACAGGATACAAGTCAAGACAACTCCAAAAAAGCTAAAAAGCAGATAAATTCTACAAAAACAAAGTCTTCAAAAGATTCAAAATTGATTGAAAAAATAGAGTCTATGATGCAAAACATCACAGTATGCTCAACTCCCCAAGAATCCATTATCGAACAGCGAGAAGATGTGGAAGCTGCTGCAGGATCTATTTGGACATCACATGGTGACACAAGTATTATTGAAAAATCTTTGCCTATTGAAAGTCCCTTGAGGCTAATGCGCATCCCCGCTAATGTTGCAAATGACAACCGTGCAAAAGTAAATCAATCAAGTCCTGACAGCCATTCGGGCAAATGTTCAGGAAGTAGGAGCAGACGTAGCAGCACAGATTCTTCCCTTTCAGATTGCAGCAGGGGAGAGGAAGACTACGATGATGACTTTAACAGCTTTGAAACAAGTGTTGCCTTCTCCCCCGACCCCACCAGTCCCAGTCTAGGACTGCGAAGACCAAAGACGGCGTCAGACTTGGGGACGCCTCAAAACTCTAGCCCAGAAAGTTATAAAACAAACCGTAGACCAGTGATTCCAGTCCCCATCAAAGCAGCAGGATCTCCTCGAAGAGCACTTAGAGGGACTTACACAATTCAACGTCAACAAGTCGGTGTCAGCTTTTCTTCAGAGGATGAAGAAGCACAACAGGCATTCTCAAAACCGTCTCTTTATTTAGACCGTAGCAGAGAGGAGAGCTCTGGAGACAGCTTGAGATCCATGGGGGATCTTAGGAGCGAATCAAAAAGTCGGCAAAGCATTAAAAGGTTTTCAGATGAGTCATCATTTGAAGATGAAACAGAGAAAGATGATAGACTTGGGAGTGTTGATTTCAGAAAAGGCTATAAACATATATCTGAGTTAGTAGCAAACAAACTACCAGGTTACACTATGTAAATAAATAAAATATATTTAGTTCTTATCATAATTTATTATTGATTGAAAATTAGCTTTTTTTTTTGCTGTCAATGTAGCTTTTTTATGTTTGATGATCTCCATACCGTGTTTGGGAGTAATGAAATACATCTTCGGGTAATACATATTCGGAATACTATTAAATGTATTGAAAATACATTTAAAAATTAAAATTCTGGTGGAACAGATCATTTTCCATATATTATAGGTATTCACTATGTAACTAAACACATTTCAAAGTATCTCCCAGCATTGTCTCTACATATCTGTAGTAGGATTTGCAATCTTGGATGGAAAACTGCCACATGCTTGGCAACTGAAGAACCAGTATTAACTCACATGCACTATAACTGTCCTGATTTCAGCAGAAAGAATGGTATATTTATACTTTTTGTTGTCATATTTAATCGTCATGGTGTTATGGGTCTTTGAGCTTATTGTGTCTGTTTGTATGTTTGACAGTTATGACTCTGCCTCTACTTGATTTTAATAAACAAATTATTATGGAAAAACGTGTATTGTTTTCTGTTCATTTTATCTCTGAAGGTTTTTGCATGAATAGATGAGTTCATACAAGTCTGCAGACAGGCTACACAAAGAGGCGCTTTTTGTATTAGAAATGGTGGTTTTTGTCTATCCATGCAATTGTCAGTACTCTGACAAGGCAAATGTATTTGTATAGCCCAGTCACAGGCTACTGAAAGTGCTTTATAAAACAAACCTTCAATAATTATTTTTAAGAGAAGAATTAGAACATATAGTTGTTCAGCTGTATGCATAGCCATAATCCTTAGTTGGCTATAATTTCCCACACAATGCCAAACTGGGCAATTACTTCCCAGAAAATATGCAAATGGAAAACCAAGTGACACAAAAGATAAGGCTATTAACAATACATGAAATCTTCAAACGAATACCATAAGATTGACCTGTGATTAACCTAGCTGAATTATAAATACGTCACAAATAAATTAGTAACACTGAGGTTGAGACATTTTGACGCAAACTTAATAAATATTGTACGTGTAGAGTTTCACAGCTCATTCAGTCAGACAGGATTAACCATGAGTGTATTATAAAGGGATTAGCCTATATTTTACGTTTGGGATTTTGGGCTATCACAGCGCATGCGCCAGTCCGGTGTTTACGGAAGTTCCACAGCCGGCGCGTGGCGAGTGTTTGCAGGATGATCAAACACGTTTTCTTGACAGGACAGCCAGGTAACAGAGCTGAGCAAACGGGGACTTTAGCTTCTTTAAAACCCTGATCCTTGTAGATTGGTTATTTGTTTTTTGATAATAGCTTGTCTTTGTTCATTCTCTCTCAATGCATTTTGTTAACGCAAGACGATTTGTTTGTTTTTGTCCTCGATTACTTGCTTTACCTCACACATTAAATTCCCATTTTATAGTGTCCCTATTCCTTTATATAAAGACGATACTGAAAGACGTCCGGAAAATAGGGATATCGTTCAATTTCAGTCGTATTGAAGAGAACGAGGTCCTCCTTGTTCTCGAGTCTTGACACGTCAATGAATGTGTAGAGCTGCCTTTTCCAGCCAGACGAATTACTGAAATGACAACAACGTGCACTACTATTAGTGAAACATATGAATGACATGTTTTCTAATCATTTGAATAACAAGAAGATATTTTATGTTGTAAAATCTTTTTGTTGGCAGGTGTGGGAAAGAGCACTCTGGTGCAGAAAGCCTGTGAGTCTTTGGTGTCATCAGGAACAACAGTGGAAGGTTTTTACACCGAGGAGGTGAGGGTAGGACAGCGGAGAGTCGGCTTTGATGTGGTCACTCTGTCAGGACAGAGGGGTCACCTGTCCCGAATACGGTATTTTCTTTTTGTATAGTATATTCAGTAATGTGTGTGTGTGTGTGTATGTGACTGAAATAATCCTTTTTTAATTCACAGAGACATGGCTGGTCCATCTCATCTCATGGTGCTCAGGAATACACGGTGGGGCAGTATGTGGTCGATTTGTCTTCTTTTGAAAACCTGGTCCTTCCCCTCTTCAGAAATGTAAGCCTGTAAATGTGCTTTGGAAAAGTGTACTATACATAGTTCCTACATGACGTCACTACATACGGGGATTTGCCGACCCGGCGCCATTTGTGTTGGCATTCTGTGGGCAAAACAATAGAAAAAGTGTTAATGTCGTGATAAAGTTGAAAATGGTCATCTCCTGCTGGGTCAATGGATGTTCAAATCGTGCCGGAGGTTCCGTTAAACTTGGATTTTACAGTATACCCATCATTAGACTTCATGAATGTGAGAAGACTAAGCTTTTGTCAGAACAACCACGGAGGTTATGGCTTGCGAAGATAAACAGGCAAGAAACTCCCTCAAAACACGCAAGAATATGCTCGGAGCACTTTGTGTCAGGTGCGTATCGTATCTTATAATGTGTTGACAGACGTAATTTACTCAGTACTAACTTGTGTATGCTGATAGCTGGTAACTTGAGAGTTTCATTATTTAGCGTTAGATTACTTTATTATGAGGAGGATCGGTGTCGCGTCCGAGGCTCTCGAGGGCAACGTAAATGTATTAAATAGATAATAATAGTTCTATGGTGGGCTAAAACAATGTTCACAAACAGCATTGCTTCTGTAAAAAGATCTGTGTCATAAAATAAACTGCTCTTTACGCCTGGAAAAATCAGTTGCCCACCATTCACCAAAACATACGGTCAAAAATGCGGAAATAAACAATAACAGCAATCCAGAGTCCGTGTGGCATTAGCATTAATTAAATTAATTGTTAATATAATTAAAATAATTAAATGGAGCTCCAACTGATATTAAATCTAAAGTTTTTGAGAAATGTTTGCATTGCTTGTTAATTTTTGCTGCATAATTTGATCAAATATGTAAAACATGTCCGTAGCACGTTAAACTGTGGTGCCATTGTATTAATATACAATTATTTGCTCAAAAGTTGCCCTTTTTTTCAAATTTGCGTTTGAATATCTACATTTATTCTCATTCTTCTGTTTAATGGAATGCACAAACACAGCAGCGTGCCATCAAAGATGGCGTCTCCGAGGAGGTCATGTGACATTCATTGGTCTGTGGGAACTATGTATTGGGAACAAGAGATGACGTCATATTTTTGAATTGGCAAACATGCTGTTCCCTCTGTATACAAATATGTGATCCTCATGATTGAGTTTGCATATTCTCTCTATGTCTCGTCCAGTTTCCCGCCGACCACTAAAAACATGTACAATAGGACTGGCATGTGCCTCCTGATGGCAATCCTGCTTTATGTGGAGTGAGAGGAAAAATGGTCAAAACTATTGTAAAAGCGATTTGTGCGAAAGGTGCTTTATGAATAAGGTTTAAACTTACTTACTTCTGGCATTTTCACAGCCCATCGTCCATAAATGTATCTGGATTGCACCTCAGGCCTTAGCGATTAGAGATAACTTGTGTCCACTGTATTGTGACAGTATTCAGCCTAATGCAGGACTTCAACAAAAACACATTGCTGATAGTATATACATATTATGTTGACATGCTGTCTTTTTAAAACTCTTCTCTTCAAGATACAAAACCACATGTGCTTTTCACAAATGACCGTCATCAGTCGATCACACTGAGGAAAACACTTGTCCCGTGCTTCTTTTAAGAAATCATCAGACCTTTGATTTTCACAGAATTGATGGAATAATTGGAAGCTAGAAAAAGGCATAAATTCCTCGGTGACGTTTTTAGTGCGGCTGGTGCCGTCTGGCTGTCACTGGTGGTGATTAATTCGGCATGTAAAGTGAGCTTGGAGGGCTGCCTACATTAGAAGAGCTGGGGATGTTTGAGTCCACTTTTGTCTCCCTCAGAGCCACTCTTTAATCACTACTAATCACCCATTACTGTAATATACTTGAGTCACATAAAGAAACAGCCTTTGAGGTTAATAATCAAGCTCGGAGCAGCAGCCATACGACTCGTGTAATATGTTAGGAAGTCATAACTTTAAAGGAGCTATTTTTACTTATTAGATTTTATAGTTTCTAATCATGAGTTAAGTATACTGTACCGCAGGGGGTACCTATTGCATTTCTTCCTTTTGTGTGATCTGCAATCTGTTTGCACTGGAATGTACAGTGGGGCAAAAAATTATTTAGTCAGGCACCGATTGTGCAAGTTCTCCCACTTAAAATAATGACAGAGGTCTGTAATTTTCATCATAGGTACACTTCAACTGTGAGAGACAGAATGTGGAAAAAAAAATCCAGGAATTCATATTGTATTGTAAATGATGGTGGAAAATAAGTATTTGGTCAATAACAAAAATTAAACTCAATACTTGGTAAAATAACCTTTGTTGGCAATAACAGAGGTCAAACGATTACTATAGGTCTTTACCAGGTTTGCACACGCAGTAGCTGGTATTTTGGTCCATTCCTCCATGCAGATCTTCTCGAGAGCAGTGAACACGGACTTTCAACTCCCTCCACAGATTTTCAATGGGGTTGAGGTCTGGAGACTGGCTAGGCCACTCCAGGACTTTCAAATGCTTCTTACGGAGCCACTCCTTCGTTGCCCGGGCGGTGTGTTTGGGATCATTGTCATGCTGGAAGACCCAGCCACGTTTCATCTTCAAAGCTCTCACTGATGGAAGGAGGTTTTGGCTCAAAATCTCACGAGACATGGCCCCATTCATTCTTTCCTTAACACGGATCAGTCGTCCTGTCCCCTTAGCAGAAAAACAGCCTCAAAGCATGACGTTTCCACCCCCATGCTTCACAGTAGGTATGGTGTTCTTGGGATGCAACTCAGTATTCTTCTTCCTCCAAACACGACGAGTTGAGTTTATACCAAACAGTTCCACTTTGGTTTCATCTGACCACATGACATTCTCCCAATCCTCTGCTGTATCATCCATGTGCTCTCTGGAAAACTTCAGACGGGCCTGGACATGCTCTGGATTCAGCAGGGGGACACGTCTGGCACTGCAGGGTTTGATTCCCTGTCGTCGTAGTGTGTTACTGATGGTAACTTTGGTCCCAGCTCTCTGCAGGTCATTCACCAGGTCCCCCCGTGTGGTTCTGGGATTTTTGATCACCGCGCTCATGATCATTTTGACCCCACAGGATGAGATCTTGCGATCGAGGGAGATTATCAGTGGTCTTGTATGTCTTCCATTTTCTGATAATTGTTCCCACAGTTGATTTGTTCACACCAAGCTGCTTGCCTATTGTAGATTCACTCTTCCCAGTCTGGTGCAGGTCTACAATTCTTTTCCTGGTGTCCTTCGACAGCTCTTTGGTCTTGGCCATAGTGGAGTTTGGAGTCTGACTGTTTGAGGCTGTGGCCAGGTGTCTTTTATACAGATAACGAGTTCAAACAGGTGTCATTCATACAGGTAACAAGTGGAGGACAGAAGAGATTCTTAAAGAAGAAATTACAGGTCTGTGAGAGTCAGAGATCTTCCTTGTTTGAAGTGACCAAATACTTATTTTCCACCATAATTTACAAATAAATTCTTTAAAAATCCTACAATGTGAATTCCTGGATTTTTTTTTCACATTCTGTCTCTCACAGTTGAAGTGTACCTATGATGAAAATTACAGACCTCTGTCATTATTTTAAGTGGGAGAACTTGCACCATCGGTGGCTGACTAAATACTTTTTTGCCCCACTGTATTGTATTTTATCTGTTTTTGAAATGAAGCACCTTGTGAGTCAATCTTTATGATGGGAGCTGTATGAATAAAGGTTACTTACTTTAAACTTCTGATGTTGTAGAAAGTTGTGACATTGAGTCAATATAAAATCTTAAAAATAACTTACCTAAAACTGAATGAAATCATTGTATTTTTGTACAGCCCAAAATTGCTGCGGCATCCGTCTAAAAGAACTTGGCAATAGAAGATTAGGGAAAAAACCCAATTAATACCGTCATTGGTCAAGAATGACAGAGCAACCTATGTCTACAGGAACTGAGCAACTGGATAAATGTCCCAGAGTGCCAAAATATATATATATTTTTTAAACAGTTGCAGAATGAGAAACCATGTAAACTTCAGGTTTCTAATAATTGACATTTTTAAATCCGTCCATTTCACTGAACAAAACAATAAAATACATTTGTCTTTATGTGAGCGGGCTTGCATCTCGACAAACCGGATTTTTCATAAAGCAGGGTTTGCCTGTTTCCATGTAAATATACTTTCCTGGTCAATTATATATTATCCCTACATGCCAAAAAGCATAATTTGAATATGAAACAAAAAAATCACAAATTGAATATAGTTTGCTAAATGGATAAAGGACAATTGTGTGTGTTTTGAGTTAAAGACATCACCCTGAAAGAGCTGGTCCCACAATGTCTACAGCACATGTCTGTTCCCATGTTGAGCCATTTAAGTCATTGCCTAAAGTACAAAGGACATGCCTATAAACCGTTTTCTTAAATATAGCATCAGGTTCACCCCTCTGACTCTTTCTGTGTGGTTTTCCAGCTCTTTTACATTTTTTTCTTTTTATAAAAATGAACTTTTAACCCGTAGCAGAATGTAATAAAACCATCAGAATCCAAAGCCACTTCTAAAACATGCAGGAAGATAGAAGGCAGCATTGGGGTACTCTCAACCCACATCCCACTGTGGACATTCAGTGACGCAGCCTGAACTTTCAACCTCGGCTGCATCTCTTTAATTATTCAGTAAGACATGTGACAGCTATAGCTATGCCTAATGTACTGGACACATACTGTAGATGTCAAGGCCTGTTACGGTATACAAGTGTGTCCTAATGTTTTCCTAAGTCAACTGACACACTTTATAATTATGAATACATAGTTTGAGTCTTTAATATTCATGTCTTACTGCCTCGGTTTCATACTTTTGCATGTAAACCGAAAGCCGAGGTGTTTTATGCAAATGAGGAACAGTCTTCCTTACAATGTGAAATGGGTTTCTGCTCTGACAATGTTCAAATCCAGGTTGAAAATAGTTCTGTTTAGCTGTGCATACAACTGAAGGCTTTTATTTTTGTATGCCTTGTGTGATTGTTTCTTTTTTGCTTTGTGAAACTGTACTTTGAGTTGGCTTGTGTATGAACTGTGCTACATTAATACACTTGCCGTACCTCACTTTGACATACTGTACATAACATACAGTTAAGAAGATTATTATAGTTGAGGCGGCAGACTTGTTTGTTTAAATAAGTTTATGTATTGTATAGTGTGCCTATTGTCTGGCATCTGGTGCTTTTGTTGGTGTTATTGGTGTCTTATAAGCCCACTAGGGCTGGGCATACAGTGTGTATGCAAGGCACAATAATAAAAACTATTCATTCATTCATTCATATAGTGAAGTCAAAATCAAGAGTCCTTTTAATGAAAATTAAACTAGAGACAATAAGACACATTACATTGTGCATACTTCTAATTCAAGAACCAAGAATATTGTGTAATACCAAACACTGCTACCTTCACCTAACACTTTCTCTCTCTTGTCATCAGCTGGACTCAGGAGGATCGACCAAAAAGGTCTTTGTTGTGGATGAGTTCGGTAAAATGGAGCTGTTCAGCCAGTCGTTCATCAGAGCCGTGAGACAGACTCTGGACCAGTCCTGCTGCACCGTGCTGGGGACCATCCCTGTCCTCAAGCACAAACCTCTGGCTCTGGTGGAAGAGGTGCGAGGCCGGAGCGACGTCAAGGTCTTCACTGTGAGTAAACCATGAGAGGAGCGGAAGGATGAAGGCAATATTACAAAGTCTATCAGTGTCCAGAGGTTTGTATGAATCACTTCCAGCTCTATTATTATTTCAGTTAAGTCAGTTTCAGTGATTAGATGGATGGTCATACTTGTAATGCTGTACTTGTATAACAAGTTGGTCGATTCATTGTGACTCATGTTTTATTGGAATAGTTTAGTAATAAGATTAGAATAGTTTAACAAGATTTTGAACCATATCAGGCCCAACAAGTGCAAAGAAGAGGGGTTAGGACTATAATCAACTAAATATTTATTTCTAACTTCTGTACACATTCAATAAAAAACAGGATCATGAACATCAGGATCGGAAATCAAAATTCACATCAATTACGTGGAACTGTTCTTGAATTGTCTTTTATAATTAAAAAAAATAAATAAATAAAAAAAATCTAACAACTGGCCTATCTATGCTCTTATGTGGCATCGGCTTAGATTTGTTTTGGTCAAGTGTATAACAAAAATCTCAACACAAATGTATTAATAACAATAATAATGCATCAGTTTTATATTACGCTTTTCAGGACACTCAAAGACGCTTCACATGTCATTATTCTTTCATTCCATACATGGTGGTGGTGAAAAACTACTACTGTAGCCACAGCTGCCCTGGGGCATACTGACAGAAGCGAGGCAACCAGTATGTGCCATCGGCCCCTCCAACCACCAACAGCCATTCACACACACACCAGACTCATTCAGGCAATGTGGGTGAAGGACAAAATGACAATTTGGCACTTCACAGCCGCAGCCGCCCCTCTGTGGCACCTGGTATTCCCAGAGGTCTCTCATCACAGTACTAGCCAGGCCCTGGCCTGTAGAGCTTCAGAGGTCTACCCAACTAATCAAAATAGTTGTTATTTACAGCCCTAACACCAACATGTACCATTATACCCACACACACAAAGCCCATTCTGTCAAATAAGCAAAGCACTCAGACAGGGACGTATTGGAATTGGGTCACTTTGGGTATCCATAAGTCGCGGCCTCTCGGTGGGGACTACTTTACTATATGAGACATAGCCTCTGTGTATAGTGGGGTCAGTGAGGCACAGAAGGCCGTGGCCCACATTATCCCTCTCCTATAGCAGGATTAACTCTAAATCATGCGTGACTGATGCAACAACAAAGGCCGGTCTCAAATGTCAAAATAATTCATCATGGTGTACTCTGTGTTTGTCATGCAAAAAGCTGCGAGCATGACTAGCAGTTCTGTTTAACAGTAAATACAAACGTGTCATCGGGAAGTTTAATGTACATAGCAGGTTACAGTAATGATGGTTAAATGGTACATTTAACATGGACCCAAAGACAAGTGAAAGTATTTTTCTTGCAGCTTTTGAATCTAGTTGTGAATAAAATGTTTTACTGTGTTATTTTGGGGTTTTGATCAATCCATTGGAGCTTTGATCCAAAATCATATTGTTAATTCTTACATTAGTTTAATCGTATATAAGTCAACATGGTGTAAACGTAGGCATTTATAACACATCCAACTTAATAAAAACATACCTCCTTCATTCCATCTTCTGAGACTTTTGTTTGTACTGATTGTGTGCTAAGATAAGTCATGAGTACAAGTCTTAAAACAAGTCTGGAGAGCAATAAGTGACTTCTGTTCTCAGAAAAACATATTCTGTATTTTAAAATATGGATCATGTGTGCCACCATATAGTTTCAGTATAAACCTTTGAGAAACTCTAGCCTGGCTAATACCAGAATAAATATCAAAAGTGAATATTTGGTCTTGAAACGGTCTCGTAGGAGAGTGGTTTAAGATTATTATTGGGAACTACAAATGCCTTTCATATGCACCTGCACGAAGGCACCAATCCTTTCAATTCTACCCAATGCCGTGTGTCAGAAATTCAAATTTACTGCCATTAGCACAAGTTAAACATGAAATGGAGTCAAACCTTCACGTTAAAGCCAGATCCCGTCAGAACCCTGAAGCTAAGCAAGGAATGACCTGGTTAGTTCTGTGATGGAAGACCTTTGGGAACACCATGCACCACTGTGGGGGGGCTGCAGCTGTAAAGTGCCAAACTGCCCATGTTTCCTAGAATAAACAAACAATCAAACTCGGCAGCATGGGCATTCCCAGGCTCGTGACACACTGCAATATTGTACTCAAACGTTGCATGTAACTGCTGCCCTTATATAAAAGTTTTGGTTTTTTTGTCAGATTACTAAAGAGAACCGTGACTCCATCCTCCGTCTGAACGTCTTGCCCACCGTGAGCAAATGCCTGAAGCAGATGTGACCTCCAGCAGCTCATGTGGAGGTTTCTTTACGGCCCTAATCTTAATGCAGGCTGTGTACACAGGTAGAAGAGACACTTGACTTTGTTTTGACCCATCCCAGTCTGCTGATGAGCGCTTCTGTCACATGCATACATTCATACGCCCCGTTCACTGTTTACAGACATCCCTGAAGTGGATTGCATTGTGAATTATTGATTGCGAGAAATATCAGGATACAGGATTGCTTAGTTATTGTGTTTTTATTTGACCCCACAAAGAGGCGTGCTTTATCGCTTGTAATTCATTTTTCTGAGCCAATGTTTCATTCTAATTATTTCATTTGGGAAAAAATATTAACTCACAATGAGTCATAGCAGTTACAGTACATGTACAATAGGGCAATTGGTCAATTAGTCGACTAAAAGGGGGAGTGTGGCAAATGCTATATATTATTTACCTGAGCCAAACTGCAGTGTTGAAAATTAGCCTGAAAAAATTAACTGAATTGTTTTGCAAAAGTTTGATCTTACCAACATGTTCAGCTGTTTTGCTCTATTACTTCCAATTTTTTCAGTTTTGACATTGAAATTCTTGTCATTGATATTGAATCAGTCACCTAAAACAACATTTTGTCAAATAAGGAACCATCAACTAATTAAATGACAAAACGACTGAAGATTGACATTCCTAGAACCAAAATAGTGAGGTAAATTCAAGTCTGCACATTTTCAGAGAATTCAACATGGCAGACTCAGATATACGAGTACATGTGGTTTGAAAAGGGGATTGGAGGAAACATAATAACATGTGCTATTATTAAGGGTTATTCAAAGCTGCTGACATATGAAAATAAAAGTTGTTTTGCATCATTTTGTGTGTCGGTCTTCTATGAGGATAACGCATTGTGTGGCAGCAAAATTCAATATTGAAAGTATAATTTTATTTTGGAGATTTGGATTTAGGCTTCCGTCTCTGGGGATAATGTCATTTCTATCCTGCTGTAGCCAGACTAAAGTAAAGGAAAAGACTTCTCACTTAGAGGTCACGGTGTGTGTTCCCAGGATTTATTTTGTCCTGCTTTTGGAAAAGTTGGATATGAGGTCAAATGAATATGTTACATACTGTATTTAGCAATGTTTTGTGTTTTTTGGCATAAGGTTGATCTTAACCCTTGTAGTTTTTTTTTCAGAAATGTGATGTGAAACAGACAAAATGAGGAGCCTTGAAGCTTTGTAAACTAAGCTTAAAGACAAGAAAAGGATGTAAGGAAAACATTTGTGGGAAGCCAGGTTTCTGTGCATAAAGTGTCTTGGATTCGCAGTTTTGCTACTTTGGCGCCAAAAGGGTCAATATCAACAAAAATAAGTTTATCCATATATTTAAGAATTGCAATAACAAGCACAAATGTTTACTGCCTGCATCTTGCACTTTTAATTGGGAGTTTTGGCAGCTTTAGTCTTAAGTCAAGCAAACATTTTTTTCACATTCCATCTCAAAAATTACTTGTTTTTGTCTTAATTGCTTGCTTGCAATTGACGTCACGTCCGCCTCATTACTTATGCGTATCACAAAGTGGTGGTCAGTGGATAGGGTATTACTAGCTTGTAGCTGAATAACTCACGTGCTCAGGGGATTCTCGCGGTACTGCAGACTGAACCAGACTATATTCACGTGGGCTACCCAGAAATTTTCCCCATAGAACTCAATGCATATTAAAACAGCTCAACCTCAGCTGACAGAGAACCTACAGCTTTAATAAAAATCGGATTTTGTGGGGATTTTAGTGTCCCTTGTCATCCTGAACTTTTTTTCTTCTTAAATCCTTCGGTTTTGTTTAAATCTACACTTTAGTGCCACAAACTCTACTCCTCTGGCTCTCGCTCTAACTCCCGCTCTGATGAACTGCTCTGATTGGTCAGAGCGCGGCCAAGCCCCTCTGTGCACGTGCGTGAGACCTGGTGTGAGACCCACACACGCGTGTTTGGCGCAACGCATTATGGGAGATCATCCACCGCGCAGAACCGGGAGGACCAGACGATGCCCAAATACAGGCGAGTTTCCCATAGATCTTTGCGAGTTTCAGGCAACTTCCGCTAATCTTTCAGCCCCCATGCCGTCACAAAGCGCCACTGAGCACAACCATTCATTTGAATAGGGCGCCATCTTGGATCGCCGGGGCTTGTGGTCAGCCGAGCTAGTTCACTATAGAGCAGCGTGTCTGAATATACCTTTTGCATGTGTTGTTTTAAGTTTTCTAACCGATCGAATCGTGAAACCTTTAATGGATACTTTAGGATTCCTTGTGAAGAGATGAATAAAGAGCCTCGCACTAAGGACTTTACGAAAAGATGCAGGAAAAGTGGCTCGCTAACATTTCACTGCAGACGCTTTTACCTCTAAGGGTTATTTATTTACCCAGCCATGGAGTCACAAGTTATTACATCCCCATCTTTATTTCATTCATTGTCAGGTATGAGTTGGTGTTTTAAATAAACACTGAATGTTTGACCTGAAAAGAACACAGCCACAGACGCATTGTTTTGTTGAGAATGATACGTTCATACCAATCCTTACTTACACGGCTCTGTACGATGCAGGATGTGTCCTTTAGGACCTCAACTCTGAGTTCTTAAACCCACAGACAGACGGAAAAGTTACAGTATCCGTGTTTATCCAAACCTTCATTTGTTTAGCAGTGCAAAAGCTTGATTGTAACACTAGCTGTGGATTAGAATCTAAAGTGAATAAAAAGACAGTCTAGGATCTTGTCTTTAATTCAGACAGAAGACATTTTTTATTGTTGATGGTAGAGGCAGCATAAACAAAGACGTTACAGAATGTAAGTGACATAAAGCGGAGGAAAGGAGACTTATTAGCATATTAGCATTTACCGCTGTGCCAGTAGCTTCAACCTTTTGTATATAGTGTATATATTGTGTGTGATCCCTGTGTGCTCTTACTACTGTCCTATATGTGCGATGCAACATCGAAATTTCCCCACTGTGGGACGAATAAAGGAATTCTTATCTTATCTTATCTTGATATTACCAAAACATGTAGTGGAAAAATTCTGCCTTGTGCATATTGTTAGAATGATGAGTTAGAACGTTCACCACAGTAGCTTCAAAGTGTCATGAAATATCCAAAAAAGCAAAAAAATACTCAGAGTCGCATTTTCTTCATATATCAGCAGCAACTCTTGCTGGCCTGACCACCACTCCGTCAACCGGAAGTTTATGCGTCACGTGATTGCAAGTAAGCAATTTAAAGGTATATAGGGGGATTTTCCCAATTTTTTGGAAAGAACCACCTTCTCCACTTTTTGAACAAACCTCTCTGGTCTGATTTGACGAGTACAAATCACCAGAATGATTGACAATTGGGAGGACCAATAGTCTTAATGATCCACCCGGAAGTAGAAAATCCTCCTTGATACCTTTTAAGTAAATCTAATTAAAAGACAGTTAAAATACAATCAACCAGACAGTAACTTCGAGCTCTTACTTTTTCCTTGTTTTTTCCTGTGAGTTTGCTGGCAGCGCTGTGCTCATTTGGCGCTTTCAGCATTGGAACAGCACAGGCGTCTTCAGGTCATTTCAAAGAGAAACTAAATCAAAGAGCTTTTCTTGTGTTTTGGCTGCTGTTGAGCTGCGGATCGTCGGTGTTACATGTCGTTTTGGCCGTCGCCCGCGCTGCCAGCTGTGAGAGTGCGTCAGACCAGCCGCTGAGCCAGCATCTGCTCCCAGCCTCATTCACGGCCTCCACGCATTCAGAGCCACAAACAGGATTTAAAACACGGGCGCAGTTGCTATTTCAGAACCAAATTTCAGATGAGATGTGCGTCACAGGACAGGTGCTCTGGGGTCAACATGTGGGGTATGTGTAACAGAGTTTTACCTTCTTTTGTATGGAGGGCAGAAGAGGAACATTTCTGCCATCCTCTAAATCAAGGGTGTCCAAACCCTTTAGTAAAAGGGCCACTTAGGTTCACCAGACTTGTCCAGGGACCCATAATATGGGATTGTGAAACTGTTTCGATTGGATTCAGGGGCTGGGCTCTAAAATGAGGTTTGATAAGTCCATAATGATTCACACCACAGCTACATTAGTGCCATATATGGGCTTTTGTTACACTTAAAAAAAATGATGTCAGTATATATGAATAAAGTTAACAGTTTAGGCTTTACAATCTAGGTGGAGCGGAAGTTGGCCGGATGACATTGTGAAAGTACCTCAATGACTACTTTGTGTTTGCAAGGCAGAGGACCGCATACACATGGTGGCAGGTCAATTTACATGTAAATGTCACATGTAAATGCAACAATGAACTTGGTTTTGCATAACTTTTGTTGCTTTGATGAAGATTGCGTGGCAGCAAAACATTTAAAATGTAATTTATTTATAGGATTTGGGTTCCCATCTATGGGGATTTGGTCATTTCTATCCAGCTGTAGTCAGACTAAAGTAAAGGGAAGGACTTCTCACTTAGAGGTCATTGTGTGTTTGCAGGATTAATTTTGTCATGGTTTTAGGAAAAGTTGCATTTGAGGTTAAAAGCCTTTGGAGAAATATTGACAAAAAGGAACAATACTGCAACTGTAGCACAAGTGCAGTGGCCCCTGACTTTTTGTATGATGAGAAGTTGTGACAAGATCTCGCAAAATGTTTTTTTTGGCTCGTCTCTCCGCGGATTTTGCTCACTGAAGATAGATTGATGTAATACAATAAAGTTAGTAAAAAGTTTCTCTAGGCCTTCTCTTGACGGAAGACCCCTCATCCACCATCTCACTGCCCATGTGGTCATGATTCACTTCTTTACAGCTGTCCACAGTGCGTTTCCATAATGCGAGAGAACAATCTCAACTTTTCTTTTAGATAATTTGTATTTTGACATAAACAGATTATTATTGCGCCTACCTTTTATGTTGTCCTGTTTACATGTGTGTATGTGTGTGTGTGTGTGTGTGTGTGAAAGTAAAGGTCTATATGGCGCAGTAACTGATCCTAGCCTCACCCATTC